CCACTGTATATATATATATATATATATTTTATATATATATATATATATATAGGGGACTATTATAATTATTATTTATTTAAATCCCTTATGCTTACCCAGGCTGCATTTATTTAATCAAAAATACAGTAAAAAATTATATTGTCAAATATTATTACAATTTAAAACAATATTTGACACTTTCTATTCCTGTGATGGCAAACCTCGACAGTCAGCATCATTACTCCAGTCTTTGGTGTCACATGATCTTTCAGAAATCATTCTATTATGCTAATTTTGTGCTCAAGAAAGAATTCTTCTTATTATCAATATTGAAAATAGCTGTGCTGCTCAATATTTTTGTAAAAAGTTCAAACTATGATACGTTTTTCAGGATTGATAAATAGAAAGTCAAAAGTAGAGTATTTATTTGAAAAAGAACTCTGTTGTAACAAAGTAAATGTCTTTACTGTCACTTTTGATCAATTTAATATGTCCTATATATACATATATACATGCACATATTGTACATCCCTAATTAATATGAAAACAAAAAATGCATCAGATTTGAATGTTTATGTACGCAGAGACTGGTTAAGCAAAATGTATTTATGACATTGTAGAATATCTCAGTCAGTACAGCAAACAACACTTTCTATAGCAAAATCTATGGCTGTAAGCATTAAAACAATAACTCTACCCACAAAACTACCTATACCCTCAAAACCTAGGTTAAATTTATGATTAGAAGAAAGCTGTTTTCAAAAGTCGACATATCCCACATACATTCCCATACATGTTCTCGGTTACTCACTAGGCAGTGGAGCCCGTGTTTTCCTCATTCTCAGAGGACGAGGATGTGGACGAGGTGGTGAAGAAGGCTGGGTCTGTGTGGTTGGAGTTGCCGCCGTGAGCCGGGTTGATGGGGGACAACCTCTCGTAGAGTGGCGTGTGCTGCTTCTCATCATTAGGAATGTTGCTGTAGCTGTTCTGTTCTAGGAGCCCTTTACCTGACGGGTCTGCCTCATGGACAGGCTCGGCCAACGGAGGGCCGGAATAGCCATGCTGGACCTTGGAGAATGAACCGAAACATGTGTGTCAGTCTGATGGGTAAGCGTGAGTCATTGAGGATGGACCATAATGGTGGAATGGTGCTCACCCCAGGTTTGCCTGAAATGTTAAGCATCTGCGGTGCTGCTGGCAATCCCATCTGATTTGGTCTGACTGTGGGCCAAATGTAAAAAAAAACAGTCTGGTTCAATCTCTGGAGCAAAAACTGAAAAAATGTAGAGGAACTTGGAAAGAAAAACAGCCATTACCAGAAAAGATATATA